ATATAACCACTAGAACACAATACTGAACTCATCCATTTCATATAACCACTAGAACACAATACTGAACTCATCTATTTCACATAACCACTAGAACACAATACTGAACTCATCCATTTCATATAACCACTAGAACACAATACTGAACTCATCCATTTCATATAGATCTAACCACTAGAACACAATACTGAACTCATCCATTTCATATAACCACTAGAACACAATACTGAACTCATCTATTTCACATAACCACTAGAACACAATACTGAACTCATCCATTTCATATAACCACTAGAACACAATACTGAACTCATCCATTTCATATAACCACTAGAACACAATACTGAACTCATCCATTTCATATAACCACTAGAACACAATACGGAACTCATCTATTTCACATAACCACTAGAACACAATACTGAACTCATCTATTTCACATAACCACTAGAACACAATACTGAACTCATCCATTTCATATAACCACTAGAACACAATACTGAACTCATCCATTTCATATAACCACTAGAACACAATACTGAACTCATCCATTTCATATAGATCTAACCACTAGAACACAATACTGAACTCATCCATTTCATATAGATCTAACCACTAGAACACAATACTGAACTCTTCCATTTCATATAACCACTAGAACACAATACTGAACTCATCTATTTCACATAACCACTAGAACACAATACTGAACTCATCCATTTCATATAACCACTAGAACACAATACTGAACTCATCCATTTCATATAACCACTAGAACACAATACTGAACTCATCCATTTCATATAGATCTAACCACTAGAACACAATACTGAACTCATCCATTTCATATAGATCTAACCACTAGAACACAATACTGAACTCATCCATTTCATATAACCACTAGAACACAATACTGAACTTATCCATTTCATATAACCACTAGAACACAATACTGAACTCATCTATTTCACATAACCACTAGAACACAATACTGAACTCATCCATTTCATATAACCACTAGAACACAATACTGAACTCATCCATTCCTAGCATCCACTAGAACACAATACTGAACTCATCCATTTCATATAACCACTAGAACACAATACTGAACTCATCTATTTCACATAACCACTAGAACACAATACTGAACTCATCCATTTCATATAACCACTAGAACACAATACTGAACTCATCCATTTCATATAACCACTAGAACACAATACTGAACTCATCCATTTCATATAACCACTAGAACACAATACTGAACTCATCTATTTCACATAACCACTAGAACACAATACTGAACTCATCCATTTCATATAACCACTAGAACACAATACTGAACTCATCCATTTCATATAGATCTAACCACTAGAACACAATACTGAACTCATCCATTTCATATAACCACTAGAACACAATACTGAACTCATCTATTTCACATAACCACTAGAACACAATACTGAACTCATCCATTTCATATAACCACTAGAACACAATACTGAACTCATCCATTTCATATAACCACTAGAACACAATACTGAACTCATCCATTTCATATAACCACTAGAACACAATACTGAACTCATCTATTTCACATAACCACTAGAACACAATACTGAACTCATCTATTTCACATAACCACTAGAACACAATACTGAACTCATCCATTTCATATAACCACTAGAACACAATACTGAACTCATCCATTTCATATAACCACTAGAACACAATACTGAACTCATCCATTTCATATAGATCTAACCACTAGAACACAATACTGAACTCATCCATTTCATATAGATCTAACCACTAGAACACAATACTGAACTCATCCATTTCATATAACCACTAGAACACAATACTGAACTCATCTATTTCACATAACCACTAGAACACAATACTGAACTCATCCATTTCATATAACCACTAGAACACAATACTGAACTCATCCATTTCATATAACCACTAGAACACAATACTGAACTCATCCATTTCATATAGATCTAACCACTAGAACACAATACTGAACTCATCCATTTCATATAGATCTAACCACTAGAACACAATACTGAACTCATCCATTTCATATAACCACTAGAACACAATACTGAACTCATCCATTTCATATAACCACTAGAACACAATACTGAACTCATCTATTTCACATAACCACTAGAACACAATACTGAACTCATCTATTTCACATAACCACTAGAACACAATACTGAACTCATCCATTTCATATAACCACTAGAACACAATACTGAACTCATCTATTTCACATAACCACTAGAACACAATACTGAACTCATCCATTTCATATAACCACTAGAATACAATACTGAACTCATCTATTTCACATAACCACTAGAACACAATACTGAACTCATCCATTTCATATAGATCTAACCACTAGAACACAATACTGAACTCATCCTTTTCATATAACCACTAGAACACAATACTGAACTCATCTATTTCACATAACCACTAGAACACAATACTGAACTCATCCATTTCATATAACCACTAGAACACAATACTGAACTCATCCATTTCATATAACCACTAGAACACAATACTGAACTCATCCATTTCATATAGATCTAACCACTAGAACACAATACTGAACTCATCCATTTCATATAACCACTAGAACACAATACTGAACTCATCTATTTCACATAACCACTAGAACACAATACTGAACTCATCCATTTTACATAACCACTAGAACACAATACTGAACTCATCCATTTCATATAACCACTAGAACACAATACTGAACTCATCTATTTCACATAACCACTAGAACACAATACTGAACTCATCCATTTCATATAACCACTAGAACACAATACTGAACTCATCCATTTCATATAACCACTAGAACACAATACTGAACTCATCCATTTCATATAACCACTAGAACACAATACTGAACTTATCCATTTCATATAACCACTAGAACACAATACTGAACTCATCCATTTCATATAACCACTAGAACACAATACTGAACTCATCCATTTCATATAACCAAAAACATCCTGATTTTTTCCTGTGCTTTTTCTGAGCATTTGTATGATTAATAACCTAGTAGTTGAAAACTGCATATGGTTTTCTTTCTTACTATTCTGAGAATAATGATCATTTAATTCATTGAAAATGCTTATGAGATAGTACTTAATCATAGAATATGTATTTAAAAGACTGCTTTTTATCTTTCCTTACTGGACTAGATTTTAACTATATGTGTGGGTCCTAACTAGATGGTGTGGGTACTAACTAGATGGTGTGGGTCCTAACTAGATGGTGTGGGTCCTAACTAGATGGTGTGGGTCCTAACTAGATGGTGTGGGTCCTAACTAGATGGTGTGTGTGTGGGTGGGTCTTAACTATATGGTGTGTATGTGTGGGTCTTAACAATATGGTGTGGGTCCTAACTATGTGGTGTGGGTTCTAACTAGATGGTGTGGGTCCTAACTAGATGGTGTGGGTCCTAACTAGATGGTGTGGGTCCTAACTATGTGGTGTGGGTTCTAACTAGATGGTGTGGGTCCTAACTAGATGGTGTGGGTCCTAACTAGATGGTGTGGGTCCTAACTAGATGGTGTGGGTCCTAACTAGATGGTGTGGGTCCTAACTATGTGGTGTGGGTTCTAACTAGATGGTGTGGGTCCTAACTAGATGGTGTGGGTCCTACTAAGGTCCTACCACAAGGTGCTCATGTATCCCATCTGACAACCCCTAAAGCACTTGCTTGCCCCTACACACTCTATTTGTTTCCTTCTGTGGGTGTGTGTTAATGGCATTCATTGTGCCAGAGAAAAATGTTATTACATAATTTATCAGGCTCATGAGCAGGTTTTTCCCCTTTCCATGCATAACTCAGATCTTTACTGCTAGAATACTTAACAAACTGCTCTGTTTTAATGGCCCAAAGTAGTTGTCATTTGATTAAAGGGGGACCATCCTCATTGAACCTTTTAAAAATTCATTATTTGATTTTCTGTTTGAATAATCTCCCCTACACTACAATATGAATATGTCATGCACTGGGTCACCCACATGTCCACACAATATATTTGTGTCATGGACTGGGCCACCCATATTAAATGTCCACACAACATATTTGTGTCATGCACTGGGTCACCCAAATGTCCACACAGCATATTTGTGTCATGGACTGGGTCACCCAAATGTCCACACAATATATTTGTGTCATGCACTGGGTCACCCAAATGTCCACAACATATTTGTGTCATGGACTGGGTCACCCAAATGTCCACACAACATATTTGTGTCATGGACTGGGTCACCCAAATGTCCACACAACATATTTGTGTCATGGACTGGGTCACCCAAATGTCCACACAATATATTTGTGTCATGCACTGGGTCACCCAAATGTCCACACAACATATTTGTGTCATGCACTGGGTCACCCAAATGTCCACACAACATATTTGTGTCATGGACTGGGTCACCCAAATGTCCACACAATATATTTGTGTCATGCACTGGGTCACCCAAATGTCCACAAATACAGTGTTTCAGATTTTGATTCACTCTTTTAAATGATGTCTTCGATTTCAATATTTTTCTCAAGTTGCAAATTAAACCATCTTAGCCTGTTTATGGGTTTTTGGTTTTGCCAGTATACCTTGATGTATTTTCCCATGAATTTTTTTCCAAATCCTAATTAATCAATAACTGTATATATTTAGTTAATGAACAATGGATGAGTTTCTAAGGTTGATGAATTGCATGCAAAATAAAGCTTTGTTTTTTTACCACCCTGTTAGGTGTTACAGATCCCCAACTTTACCAATGTTTTTACCATCCTGTTATAGTTATAGATAACCAACTTAACCAATGTTTTTACCATCCTGTTATAGTTATAGATAACCAACTTAACCAATGTATTTACCATCCTATTACTATTACAGATCCCCAACTTAACCAATGTATTTACCATCCTATTACTATTACAGATTACCAGCTTTACCCAACTCCGCCTGATACATACAGCTGAAGCCCTGTCAAAGTACGCAGAAATTCAGATGAAAATCTCCCAGGACTTTTACTCACAACTATTTCATTCCCGTAAAGCGTTGTTAGAGCTGCAGTTATGATGAAAGCCACCAAGTCTTATCCCAATATTTATTATTGTGTGTCCCTAACCAGGCGCATCCAAGTATAAAGTTTGAAAAATACATGTTCTCTAACTAGAGGACATGCATGATTTCACTGGGCAGCTGTATATGCCTTTATACTTTTGTACTATTTTGAATCTGAGAGAATAGTTAAATATAATTAGTCCTCATGAACTGTATTATTATCCCAAATGTTATTTAAGCAATAATTGGTATTTTTGTTAACTTGAAAATCAAAAGATATTAATGTTTAAAGTACTCAACGAAAATTTCATGTGTTACTTTTAAAGAAATGTTTGTTTGTAAATATAGTGTTGTTTATTGGATATTTAAAAATCCAAATGTTACGTGGGGTTTAAGACAGGATTTGAAATGAGATTTGAGATTAACATTGTGTTTATATGTGACAAATCCATTCCCAACTAGCTTCACTTGATTATCTCAGCGTTTTTTAATTTGGAGCATTTGACTTTTATTCATTTAAATTTTCTTTGTTTTATCACTCATTTTGTTAAGTCTGTGATGTAACTGATACGTAGGTGAAAACCATTCCATGTTGAACGATAATGCAGCTAATTAGATAATTACTAATTAAAATGTTAATTAAAATGCTGAGCAAGTTTGACACCAGGAGCATAGAGGACCAGAAATTGGTGTAGTTTACAGTTTCATCAGACCCTATCAAACACCCTCCATCATTGTGTACAGTTTCAGACACCTGTCAAGTTGATTACATAATGACAATTTGTTTCAGACAACTGTCAAGTTGATTACATAATGACAATTTGTTTCAGACAACTGTCAAGTTGATTACATAATGACAATTTGTTTCAGACAACTGTCAAGTTGATTACATAATGACAATTTGTTGACATACTAGCAGCTAGGCAGCTGACACATAAAGTAGGCGACAACATAACTCAGATACATATATTAGTGGTCAGTTTAAAGACAAGTTTTAAGAAAAAAAAATTTTTTTGTGTTGTGTAATTATCATAAGAACATGTTTGTCAATAAGTTTTAGTATTCAGCTAACGACTTGATTTTGCAATGGGTTGAAGTAATTCCCCTGCTAACTAGTCAAAGTGATTTTAATTTTGTGGCATGACTTCGTTAGAAATGATTTTATATGTAAAAACTGACATATAATTTTATAATATTATTAATAACAGGTCTGTTATCAAATAAACAGTTAATTATTTAAAACAAAATATTGTGATTTTTAAAAATATTTTAATCATCAGTAAAGCAACATCAATTTCCTTTTTCTTAGAATATATCATATTGTATAATGTAGCCTATAGGCTACTATAAGTACATGGCACAACTCATTCTACACATTCGCATATTTATACTAAAGATAAGTTGGGAGGGGGGGGGTGCAGACACTGGTAAATGTACATATTTTCCCATAAATTCTACTGAAGGCGGTGGGTGAAGTGCGCGCAGACCCCCCCCCCCCCCCGCCCAATCAGAAGGTTCAATCCGCCACACCCATCAAACAGTTTATAGATCTAGATAACTAGGCCTAGTGCCTCTAGCGGAGCCTATCGCACACGTTTTTTTCTGCATACAGTAAACAGTTCCTAGGTTTGATGGACTGTTAATAATAGTGTTATCGCATGCGGCATGAGCGATGTCGGTCCGGCTATTTAACGTGTATTTAAAAAAATAACCTGCAAACAGCAATCAACGCCACAAATTTATCCATAAAATACATGCCCTGACTTTATGAAAGTTTAAAGTATTGACAAGTCCGTCTCACAGATGAGAATCTCTAGCAGTTTTTAAATAAAAACATTTAAAACTTAATTATTTCGGACGAGTTCCAAGGAAACCCGAATTAAAACTGAACTTTGAGGAATCCGTGCCTGGTAATCGATGGGAGAGGAATCAGCGTTCGGTAATCGACGATTTAATGTGTAACGAAATCTCCGCGCCGCTATAAGCTACGTGACTAATTTCCCGCCTCCATGGAAGGTGTCCCCAGACGGCAAGCTCGCTATCTTGACGAGCGACGTTTTGGAAGAAAATCTAAAATGTGGTTACAGCGAGAGCGATACATCACCGGTTCGATCCTTCGATAGCGTTTTCAAAATGGCGTTTCAGTATCTCATCATCAACTCTTTTTTACTCAGAAACAAAAAAAAAACTAAAAAAATTCGCGTCTCTTTATTTAAATTTGCATCCCTCATCTTGATTTTTAATGAGCTGTTGTTTTTCTTCATTTGTATTCCGCCTGTATTTAGAACGTTCCTCTGCATTTTTTAAGCTGCAGCAGTATTTAAATTATGTCTGATTATGTTGTACAAGTGTCCAATGACAAAATCTTCTTCAATATTGGTGTTTACTGGTAGTTAACGTAACCCTAACCCAAATTTCTGAAGCAGACGACCAATAACAAATTAACACACCTGTAGTACTGTAGAGTTTTGTAAAGTTTACTGTGGGATACTCGCAAAAGGAGAAAACAAATAGATCTAGATCTAGGCCTATGTGAAATCATACAAGTAAGGTTAGTGGAGATTAAGCTTAGACTATATCGCTATACTTTTTAATAATTTTATCATTTTCACTGTATTTATTTTTAAATTTAATGTTATAAATTATAGATCTAGATTATATAGACTAGATCTAGAAGATAGATCTGATCTTGATCTAGATCTAGGTAAATCAATAAATATTTTAAAAAGTCAAATCTAGAATCTAGATGTTTTTTTTTCCTGGTTGCTCCTCGCCAAGTGCTGGAATAATTGATTAATTCTGACATCAAAAACATTTTAAGGAAAAAAAAAAGATTTTTATTATAATCACAAAAGAAAAAAACATGCACTGAAAAGTACAAATAAATTTAGTTCGGAGTAGGCCCCTGCCCTAACCTTACAACTTACTAAAGTTACATGGTGATTACAAAAAAAACCTCGGCGCTTAATAATGAAAACTGAACATAGGTCTTATATAATGTCATAGAATGAAATCCCCGTGTTTTTTTTCTTGACATTTTCGAGGTGGGGGGGGGGGAGGTGGACATTGGTAAAAGTACGGTAAAGGTATATATCTTCTATATTAGTTCTAATTCGTATGAGAGTGGAAGAAACTCTGCTCCCCGTAAAAAGGAAAATAAGTGTGCGCACAGGATTTTTATTTAATTTTTTTTTTACACCTAACTAGAGCCAAATTTCATTTGTGGTCTACAATAAGGCACAAAATCAGCCAACCGTGAAAGTGAAAAAAGTTCACCCTCGACTGCCGTCTGACCAAGCGATCACTAGTATTTTTTAAAAAAATCTCATTATTTCCCCTTATTATTATTGTATACAGCGATTAAATATAGTGTTAAATAAAATTTTGATCCAATTAGATTAAAAATTAAATATTCCAATTAAATAGTCCAAGATCTACTACAATGCCAAATTTCAGTGGGTTACATTCATATTCCAAGATTTGCCGAGCCCCAAACAGTGGATGTATAATAGTTTTTACAAATAGTGTGATTGATAATGTAATGTAAATGTTGCGAATATATTTATTGAAAGTAATTGTATTGCACTACAATACTAGTTTAGCTCTGGTTGGTTCACAAGCCAATCAAGACTTGTCTATTGTGGCCCGTTTTCTAGTTATATAGGCCCTATTTATAAATTTAGTAAGCCACCTCCACCCATCATCAACCACTATCACTAGTGCAAGCAACACCATCCCCACCCCCATTGAAGGTGACAACCTCCACCATCCCCAGTGCAGGCTACATCAACCATCATCAGCATCAACCACCATCAGCATCAACAACAGCGTTTACACATCATAAACAACCAATTATTCCCCTTCAGGCAATCATTGCTCTGATGTAAAACACGAACTGACTTTGGACAGCGAACTTCCGTCTCCAACAACAATTTCACCTTTTTATCCCTATCACCTTCCGCGTCAAGCCGGCACACGTCACACCCAGTCCGTCAGTTCCACAAACACGGTCTGACGCCTGCTGGAAATTGCAACAACAGAGGCGTCAAACATGTCGCTTTTCTTGGTCATTTTCGTCAATTTCTTTTAGAAGAAGTTATTGTCCGTCTTGCACTGGGCTTCTTAGTGCTTTAGCTTCGAGTTTATAGGGTGTAATCGTAGTGTGGTTCGTCGTGTGGTTGGTCGTGTGTGTGGTGATATGGTTGGTCGTAAGTTGTGGTTGGTCGTGTTGTGTGGTTGGTCGTGTGGTTTGGTCGGTCGTATGGTTGGTCGTGTGGTTGGTCGTGTGGTTGGTGGTGTAGCGTGGTTGGTCGTGTGGTTGGTGGTGTGGTGTGGTTGGTCATATGGTTGGTCGTGTGGTTGGTCTAGTGGTGTGGTGTGGTTGGTCGTGTGGTTGGTGGTGTGGTTGGTTGTGTGGTTGGTCGTGTGGTTGGTCGTCTGGTGTAGACGCTGCACAACGAATCGAGATTCAGCAGAAAACATTACAGATCCGGACAGACCACCAACCGACAGACCACCAACCGACAGACCACCAACCGACAGACCACCAACCGACAGACCACCAACCGACAGACCACCAACCGACAGATCACCAACCTACAGATCACCAAGTGGAGACATACCGGACGAGAGTGTGAACAAATTGGATTGATTGCGTCCCCTTCTAACACTGTGTCATCATTACTTGTCACGTGATTTTTTTTTTTGGTCACTGTTCAGCTGATAAGAGCCTAAAAATTTTGGGCGGGAAAAGTTTTGCCGAGACGTCAAACACAAGAACGGCAAATTTTTTTTGCTTTCCGTTATGTGTGTATTCCATTATATGGCAATCCTTTATGCAGTAGTAGCGTTCCTTATGTTGTATTTCTTTATGTTGTATTGCTTTAAATTCCCTACCTATTTAGCATGTCTAATACGACCAGGCCATTGTATAATGTATTAACCGACGCCGTGATTATGACATTTTGACAACTATCACAGTGACTCGTGGTTTGTGGATGTGGCTGGTGATGTGTGGATGTGGCTGGTGACGTGTGCATGTGGCTGGTGATGTATGGATGTGGCTGGTGACATGTGTATGTGGCTGATGAAGTGTGGATGCGGCTCGTGATGTGTGGATGTGGTTGGTGATGTGTTGATGTGGCTGGTGATGTGTGGATGTGGCTGGTGATGTCTGGATGTGGCTAGTGAAATGTGGCTGGTGTTGTGTGGATGTGGCTGGTGATGTGTGGATGTGGCTGGTGATGTGTGGATGTGGCTGGTGATGTGTGGATGTGGCTCGTGATGTGTGGATGTGGCTGGTGATGTGTGGATGTGGCTGGTGATGTGTGGATGTGGCTGGTGATGTGTGGATGTGGCTGATGATGTGTGGATGTGGCTCGTGATGTGTGGATGTGGCTGGTGATGTGTGGATGTGGCTGGTGATGTGTGGATGTGGCTGGTGATGTGTGGATGTGGCTGGTGATGTGTGGATGTGGCTGGTTGTATCCCGGACAATGACAGCAGACTGCCCTAGATGTTGGACAGCCTCCTTAATTAAAAATTGTGACGTAATTACCTGCTAGAGGTTTCACTCATTAACTAACGCAATTATCTGACAGGATCTTGTCGTTGTGATAGGGTGGACATTTTGTCTCTCTCTGCAGGAGATTGGACGGCAGTGAGTGTGCTAATGATGTTACTCTAATGTGTGCTAATGGTGTTACACTCTAAGATGTGCTAATGGTGTTACACTCTAAGATGTGCTAATGATGTTACATGTCTAGATGTATACGGGGCAGCACTTTTAAAATGTCTGCCCCATCTCCACCATAGCGGGGGGGGGGGGTGTCTAATATACCCAGGCGGCCCAAATTCGTTTCTATCAAAAAGAAGATCTTGCCTTTGTCATTGGAGCAACTTTTAACGCAACGCATCCCTACATGCGACCTTGACGGACATCGCTCTCCCCCCCCCCCTACCACTAACCCAACTTCTCACACTGTGATACGATACCATCGAACAGAAGTTAGGGGAGCTAGAGGCTCGCTATGCTTCGTTTTGGTGAAATTAACTTTGCCTTTTTTTTTCTCCGACTTTGTGAAAATGCACTTTGACATGCACGTGCAGTATCGCTCACCCACGAGTTGACGAGCTGATTCGGTAACTGACACGGACAGTTTGGCGCCACTTTTGTGTTCAGACGTCTCTGGCATCTCACGTCTGCCTCAGTGCAGCACCAACCGTCCATCGAATGTTAAAA